AGAACGGAGTCACAGGGAAATATACCACCATCCTCTGCAGACTGTACCATCATGTCTGGGTGTTAACGGAAGGCATTTTCATACTTTGTTCTAAGTAATAGTGTGCCACAAGACCATCTACTGTCTTTATTTATGTTTCATTTCGTACTTTTAAACGTCTTATGGACATCCCTTGCAAGTTTCCAAAATTTTGGTATGAAACTTCTGTGGAATCATGCGAGCAACTCAGATTATGTCGATTCTGGCGCCATGCGGAAACGTTATCGCTGCCTCGTCTTGTCTTGTTGGGATTATGTCGTCGATTACCAGCACACACTCGGCTGCTTGTACTCGTTCGATCTATCCATGTCGAACCACCGCCTTTGCGTCTTCTGTACAGACACTCGCGCGCACAGCTTAATCTTCTTGTAGGGTCTAGAAACTATTTGATTTATTACCTGGAAGACAATTTGAAAAGCTGTGGAACGATCCCAAGACCGGTCACAACGGTGGCGTTATAAGACGGCTACCGTTACTTTTCCTACCGATATCGCTGCCACTTAGGTTGTACTATTCAGCAGACAACCCACCAAAAACTAACCGGTGGAGCCCACCGTCACACAGACGCCCCTACTTGCGTGTCGTTCCAAAGACTGTCTAGATCCACGTGTACGCCGTTCTGATATGTTGCTAGAGGTCAGCAGCAAGGCACACACACGCACACACACTATAGACGTTAGCTAGAGGTGGGAAACACCTCAGCTACTGTGCCGCAATACATAAAAGAAAAAAGAGAATAAAATGCAGCAGGTGCCAGCTGAGCTACCGGTACCGGATGGGCATCATTCTGGTAAGCTACCTGCCGGCTACTATGCAGCAGAAAAAAAATAATTTACTATGCAAAATTATAAAATACTAAATAATGTGATCGTGCTTAGAGGGGGAGGCTAAGAGGGATGGGGTGAGGGAGACAAAGAAACTCACAGCCCGAACGCCACTGAGGTCGGCTCCTAGCCATATCAACAAGTGTATCCAGTCAAACGTGTTCATCGTCTTTCAGACCCCAACCAGGGAGCGGAAACGCCCCAACTGAGGCCAGCTTCGAAGTGAGGGCCTTCATTCCTCTCGACCAGGTCATCGCTTGGCCACTGACGCTTGTAAGGACCCCACTGACGCCGTCAGGCCAAGATCTCAAACTTCGCGACGCGTCCATTTACCAATGAAGCAGCGCACAAGACTCGAAGGCGGAGATTAGAATCTCCGCTACTGCTTCATCTCGTTTCCCAGAGTTGCAATTTGTCATCTTGCTTAGCGTGACTTCCCATTAAAATAGTACTAGTTATTACCCAATTCCAGTCCTTTCTACTTTGCCGCGCATTTTACAGTTAATTTCACTCTCTTTTCTGCAATAACGACGCACTATGGGAGGGGAAAATGCATTACGCACCATGGTTCCCCAATGTACTTCGGAAGTTTGGAATGCAAAGCGAGGCACCCCACGGAACGGCTGGAATCAACATTAAAAGTGAAACTCAAAAGAGTGTAGATGTAATGGGAGATTGCTCTGGGTCTCCTGCTGATCTGAAGGTAGCGCCTGAAAAATGTCTCTCCGTATCCAAAATGATATACACTGAAGTTTCTTCAAAGGTTTGACATGCTCACCTCTATTTTGCAACATCTACGTAGTCTAGCTACATCATCTGAACCGCCTTCAACAATCGACAGACTGCACCGTACGCAAGGCCTTGTACTAATTGAATTAATCCTAACCTAGATTCAAAATCTATTACGCTGCTCACAAAATACTGTATGTTTTGGTGTACAGTGCAGACTGCCACTGAAGCCTGTTCATAAAGTGCTTCTCATTGCATGTGGCATGCGATATTATTGGTCCAATTGCTCTGGGCTACGCAAAAAGCTAGCACGTTGTGACTGTCCCATGCCCTTCCAGTTTGAAAATGAAGCAATAGGTAAACAGTTCATTCAACAGTACGGACTTATTCTGCTTAATATGACCTGCGAATGCCTAAAGATTGTGGAAGACAAAATTCAAATACAATTGGAAATCAGTCAACGGTAGACGAACAAACTAATTATCAAACAGATGCCACCGTCCCAGCCAATCGACATTGCTTCGATCAGTGGCCACATTAACTTTGAGATCAAGGCTCTGCTTGTTGCGAACAAAGGCGATGTGATGATTAATAAAGAAAGAAAGGAAATCGTAACGAATCGCACGAACATGCGGACTGGTATAACTTACTACTTGCTCTGTCTAGGACAGGGGTAACTAAGCTATTTTTGCAGGCGTGCCGGATTGCGAACGAAATGACGGCCGCGGGCAGGACTGGATTTTGCAATATGTCCAAAGGCTAAAACGTAGACACAACGAAACTGCTGCAAACTGTGTTGCACGTTCCGTCGTAAATATGGGTGAGTGACGTGCAAAATACAAAAATGAAATGAATTCAACGTATTTATGAAGTGAAAATCATATTAACAGAAGCGACGATAACTAAAAGTTAGTTTCCTCACTTATGCGCACCCATCTGAATCTGCAAAGGGCTACGAAAATAGGTAGTGAGATCTTTGAAACTGAAGTTTGACTTTCACAGTATATGTTTGTTTTGGACTAGCTGCAACCGATCAAGAGAATTGCTTTCAAATGTTGTTCATCAGTTAATCTCGTTCGTTGAGTTGATTTCACGTGCTTCATTTTTGAAAATGTTTGCTCACAAACATAAGTTGTTCCAAACACTGATGCCGTACCAGATGCAACTTTTTCAGTTCCGGTAATTCAACATCAAGTAGAGAGCGGTAAAATCCGACAACTTGTCCTTCCCTGTGCTTCTGTGCGAAAAAGTTATTTGCCTGCAAGTCAGTTAGCTCTAACTGTAGTTCCGCTGGAACAACATCATCAAGATTACAATCATACGGATTTTGAAACAGAAGCATTTCACTCTCAGTTTTTCCAACATCCGAAACTCTGACAAAAATGCTTTTTCAGTTCACGAATACTTACTCTCGGAAATTCGAGCAAGGCGTCTTCGGTGTTCGTAGCGCAAAACTCCTTGAAACAGTTAAAATGAAAAAGATTTTCCCTTTGCAGTTGTGTTTCAAACAATGACAACTTTTGCCGAAATCCTGTGATGATTCTGTACAGATCACAATGAAAGTTGTCCTTTCCCTACAGTTTCAAGTTCAGCTCATTCATGTGGTATATGACATGGACAATAAATGCCAAGTTTGATAGACAGGTAGGATCTGACAGCTGTGGGTCAGCTCTATCTTTCATTGAGGGGGCTGTAAAAACGTAATAGAACTTTACCGCAACTGAGGTATCGTACTCATATGTGTTAAAGTAAATCGTGTAATTCGAAATCAATGTTTCTCGGAAAAGACTGGAACTGGTGGTGATTGAGAGCATGTCCCCTAATGAACTTGACGGCAGAAGCTACTGGTTTGAGTACACAAAAAATATCTAGCTCTTTCCCACAGAGTGTTTGTTGATGTAGGATGCAGTGAATGAACAGAGCGGCTGAAATTTCCACATCTTCTAGTTGAGTCCTTACCTGCTCTACCAAACGCTTCGCACTCCAGCCATATTTTACCTTCCATCAACTGTCACACCTCGAAACCGATTTCTCGGAAGATTTTAATCTTGCACAATTTTGTGCACCCACGAAAATGTCATTTCCGGTTGTCGTTTCATGCATACTACAGACCGACGCCAAACTCCGTTATTTGAAAGCTTGAATTAACACCACGAATGAACACGAGAAGTTGTAATGCACTCGACAGATCAGTAGACTCATCCTAAGCCAGAGAAAACCACAAGAAGTTTTTAGCTTTCTGGCGCATCTGAATGGAGTCTAACCGGTGTTCAGGGTTAGAGAATGTAACATGCAATCGAGCTTACACTGCGAAGTGCGGCATTGCGGTGTGAGCGGTCCCGTTCCATTGGCTACACGCAGAGTATCGCTCAGACTGTCGAAGCTGATAAGCGACAGGAAGGGGCCAAACATAGCTATGACGCAGCGGTGATAATGCATGAAGGTGTTCAAACAGCTTGGGGTCATGCAATTACTTGATCGAATGTGCATTAGTGCGAATGCCGTAAACACACAGCTAGGATACGCACGTGAATTAGTTCGGTGTTCAAAATCGATTTTCGTTCGCGGGCCGGTTGAAATGACGGGCCGGGTCCGGCCCGCGGCTGGTGACTTTTGGTCTAGGTGAACGCCAAATTTGACCACTTCGGAGGTAATGTCAAGGTCAAGTGTAAAGATGGTCACTGGAAGACTTCCGCAAATTAACAGCTCCACTAGTAGGTATTTATGATGACCGAGCTCAACCTGACTACAACCAACACACTTAATGATGCTTCCTCGCAGAAAACCATCACTAGCCGTTATAGGGGCGTTTCAGATGCTGTTTCCTGCATGCGAATTGCCAATAATGTGGTCAGACCAATCTCTTTCCTAAGTCTACATGGTTAGAACCAGACTGCAAAATCAATGCATGTTTTCTGGAGGAGTGGTAGTCTGGATCAGACACAGCACATATTACCTGCTGCTAACCCAGTCAAAAGCTGCTTATTTTGAAGGTTTAAGCACACTATACTTTCGTTGCAGACCTATTTCTTAACGTCAGTAAAAATCTGAAGGGACAGTACCGTTTCTGTAAATATCGATGAGGCCTAGAGGATAGTCATATCAACCATGAATGGGACTAGAATCCTAGACCTGAACTCACAGCACGTGGCTAAAAGTGACAGCAAATGTGAACTTTCCGGGTTAAAATTTAAATTGCTTAATGAACAAGCCCACAAATAAGTGTTTTTTAAAGCTATTATTCACTAGCCGCAACATACTACGTTAACGGCTCTCATATTTGCATGTTAGCTATGGATAAGTAGAAACAAGTAAAACCGCAGTGATTTCGCAGTTATCTTAGTTGATTTTGGCTTGTTCATGAAAAGCTACATTGTCCGTTGCATGGTACTCAAGTGGGTTTTCACCATGTTGTTTCAGAATCCTTCGTCCTTTTTTTCTACATCGAACAACAAATCAACCAACAGACGCTTTGTGAGAGATCGCTATACGGGCACAATAAGCCGGTACAATCTGTACGGGAATTCGACTGACTTGCAATTCATCACGGATAGATGGTCCAGGATACCAGTCGGGGAGTTCAACGGGTCTCGCGTCGGTGCATACTTTCCGTGGCCACCGAACAAAGCAGGTGAGGAACCATTTCAACTAGGACGATGTTCATCCAGTGTAAAGACTAGGCAGAATCGAAGAGATAATACTTGATACCCTACGGCTCACATTTGTGGGTAGGTACGATTATAGACCCACTGGGGAATTCTCAAGTCATTTGTTATTCCAGGTATTTATATCCAGTTGGCAAGCACTACAGTAGATCATAATATAACAGTTGGAGTTCGATACTTTTACAGACCGTGAGTACGTAAATTGCACGACAAACGAACATCTTATCAAGATTAGAAAGTTTTATACATCCGTTAATTTCCGGGAGACAATCAGCATATTGTCATATTACGAGCTGTATCAAGCTCCTACAATGTTTTCGCCTAGAACGCGTAAGAGCTGAAAGTTTTAAAATATGGCGCTGTTTAGTTATCTTACCGTAGTCCGAAGATACGACGAATCAACATGAAAGTAACGGACACACCACATACACCGGTGAGGAAGAAAAGCATACTTCAGATTTTCCCCAGTAACCTGGTTAGTGCTTAAACCATTAGCACGTTTTACATCGTCAACTCTCATAAATGTAGCTTTCTGCAACTCTTATGTTCAAGAATTTACGCCCAAAGCAGCATACATGATGGTCGCAATCAATTTGCTTGCAAGAAGCTATCCTCACTAGGACTGTAAATGTAAATGGGATGCCGTATGCACCTCCTACTTTTAATAAGGACAAGTTCACCATTCTCATTTGATTTTTACCTAAGCACCGATTGTTTCAAAAGTTATTGACATGCAATCTGACTGCAAACTGCGATTTAGTTTTGACAAAAGGTAAAAGCAATTTACATACAATCGATGTCTATGATCACTGATTAGACGGCAGATAGGAGCGCATGTGCAGATTTTCCCCGGGATCAAATGCAGTGGAACGCCTTTCGTGGGACTATCGTGACCCTGACAACATAGATGCAGCGAACCTGTGTTCTTGCATCACCAGAATTATGAAGCATGCAAACTCCGCCACTGGAAATCCGACCCATTTCCTGTAAACTTCCGAGTGTGGCATCGTGTTGGGTGGCGACTGGAATTCTATTCGGTAGCTGTAAGGCGTAAAGGACGTGCCATATACTGGACGGTAGAAAAATTAGAGGCGGCTGGATCCAGCGTCTGTTGTACAAGATACAAGTAATAGGAAGCGAATCAGCAATGTCAAGGTACCTTTAACGCGGAACTCAAGAGACCAATATGTCACGGCAGCTGTGCATTCAGTTGAGGATATTCAAACAACAATAACATGCAATGTTGTAATATACTGCAAGAATATGTTTCCAACTGCACTACTAGGGCCTCCTCCTAGAAGGCTGCTAAATGGAATCGGTGGAGGGATACTGGAGGTGTGGACTGTTGCGAGGAGTAACAGCTGGGCCTAAACACGGGATTCCTAACAAGGGTAGGTAGCAGACTTCGCTAGATTCATGTTTCATTGTTTTTTACGACTTATGATTTGACTGTGAACTGGATTTCATCTTCAATCGGCCGTCGGGGCAATGATGAAACTACACAAAATCAATACAACGCACGGAACGTTTGACCTCTCTACCAACTCGGTCTGTGGCCTGGGGTTGAGGCGACGTAGGGGAAGGGTCAAGGGGAAAGGACGGTTTCAAGGTACCCAATGGGTGGTTGGGTTATAACAACTGGTTGGCTGGGAAACTGTTCGTCAAAAAGGCAAGTTTGATACGTAAAAGATTTGGTCCTCTTCATCCACTCCATCAAAGCAGAAAGAAGACATAGATTGCGATATGTCAACATTTCGATTGTTCTCATCAGTCACATACACAATACAAGCAGAAACACAGACACAAATATAATATATACATGGGAAAAATTGGCACACCAATTAAACTGTCGAAAGCAAGACCAAGGCAATCTGACTGGTTGCCTCAAGACTTTCTGTGCATATTGCACAGGTTGGTAGGCGCTAATCAGCAACGCTTCGCTGATTGCCAAGATTACCGGGTTCCTGTTATGTAATAACAACTTGAACGTATTATTCGTGTTCACATGACGACCAGTTGTCAAGAGGTGTTTGTTGATAGATGATGACGGACTCCGATTCGATCTGTAGGGCGTTCCGTTTCGTTGGGCCATCATTTGTTCGACACACTTTGGCAAGTGCTTAGCCATCCTCTGAGCCAACCGATGATTAGACTTGCCTATGTAAACATCGCCCCAACTACAGGTGAACTGATAAACCACATGAGAGGTCGAACTAGCCGAAGGGTAGCTCTGACGGTCTTGAAGAACCAGGTTTCGGGTAGTGTGCATGAGGCACAACTGGTCAGTCGTGTACGTGTGATTTAGGGCGGATCTGAGCTTGTGTCCGGTATCATTTGCGACATGGTCCACCTCGAACGGTAGAACCAAATAGACAGCTTTTTTCTCTGCCGTTTTCACCGTCAGTTTCTTCTTGAGGTGCCTGCTGTGCACTTGGATGAACTTTTCGGAATAACCATTCGATACTAAGGTCCTATACAAAAACCTTTCTTCAGGTTCCAGCAATTCCGGAATATAAATTCGTCTGGCCTTCTAGAAGAGCCTTATCCCTAGGCTGATCGATGGACACTGTTGTTCGGTGAACATTCTGGTCTCATGTGAAGTGCTTCGGTGTGAGTTGCGGAACACTAAATGACCAGTGTGTGGAAGATGGAGCGGGCACGTCACTGCATCGGTGCGGAGGAAATCTTGAGTGCAAGTAGTGATTCTACTGTGCAGTTGCACAGCTACCATCTGCTCATTAGGAGGGGTCGGGCGTAGTGAACGCATGCGTTGATCCAGTGAGGATGCAAAGTTCGGCGGAGGAATACCCGACGATGCGGGAGGCGAAACAATTTCTCCTAGCAACTCTAGGGTGGTGTCGTAAACCAGCTCTGTTGGTACACATTGCAAGTCAGCTTCCATGTTGCTGCGGATACCTAAGAAGACAAGCGAAAAGTTTTCGATCCAGCTAAGGTCCAAGGAGGCGCAAAGCGAGGTTTCGAGCTGTCTATGGAAGCGTTCGACTAAAACGTTGGCTGCTGAGTGATACGCTGTCGTATGGATGCGGCGGCAGCATTAAAGTTGCAGAACGTATCGAATTCTGAAGATTCGAAGTGTGTTCCACGCTCGATTGTGATGATTGATGGGAATCGGTAGTGTGAGCCCCAACAATCCAAGAAGGCCCGAATAACAATCTCGGCTGTGCAGTCTGCTACGGTAATGGCTTGTGACCATCTGATTTAACGAGCGACACATGAAAGCTTGTATACGAATCTGCGTGGCGGGGGCAATGGACTTGCCAGATCCAAGTTTACATGCAGGAACAGAGAATATGGGGAGGGAATAAACCCAAAGAACTACGAGTGTGCCGATGTACTTTGGAGCACTGACAATGATCATCATCATCATTATACACATCAGCTAGAGGGGGGAAAACACCTCCGCTATTGTGCCGCTATTGTGGCAATGAAGCCAGGCACGATTCCAGGAACAGGCATTTGTTTTCTCGTGGCCAAACGAAACATTCGGATACCGGGATGTGTTAGCGCGTGGAATGCGTTGAAGTAATGTGTCTGAGGGAGACGGCACGAGATGCCTAGGACTGCGGCAAAAGCTAGTCGCTTAAGCAAAACGGTGGAGCCGGCCGGATTCATGCCGACCAATCACGGGCTGCGTTTGCAGGCTTGTATGCTACCGGATAGCCGCTTGAGCGAAACCAACTTGGAACCATAGGACAAATTGGCCAGTTAAGTGCAGGCATCAACAAGCCAGAGCAAGGAAGTGTGGATGGCTCATTGGCGGCTTGGTTTAGCCGTAACACACACACACACACACACACACACACATCAACAAGGTAGGAACAACAGACCAGACATACAAAGCGGAGCTGCCGCACCCACTCGTGGCTCAAGGCGAATAAACGAAGACGGAGCAGAAGCCGACGGATAAGCCGTGAGTAGAACCAATGAACGCAATTTAATACGAAAGTGGCAGCGGCCAATGTTGGCAGACAACCATTCCCCATTTGTATACAGTATAAAACCGTGCCCTGATTCTTCAATAACCGACTCTGCCGAGCTCGCTGCGCCAGTAAAGGTGTCGATTTGCAGCTAAGTTGTGAATCAACTCAATTACTAATGCGTAGAAGGATTTCCGATGAAAGTTTAATGGTTAGATCGTCTGACACCAATCTGGACAAACACCACACAACGGTTCCGCCTTATTCGGCGACCTGTGTCACTACAAAGCAACGTGTTCCACTGGGCCATGGAGGATGATTGCAGTCCATCATAAATTTGCAATCTAACTGAGATATAGCACAGTTCATCTTCCACTACAATATCAGTTACTACCATTGCAAAAGAAAAAGGCTATCTTCCAGTAGTCACGAGTATACTTAGCAGCAGCTATGCACGCAGAGCATTTGAAGACTGTTACGGTGAGTATTTGATTGATAATGAGTAGGTGGGTTTTGGTGAAATCTCACATGTTCGTCCCTTCAGCTCACAAGCTCGATAGTTTAACCACCAATCCGTGGTGCATGAGTCGCAGTATATCTCAGCTGACTTGCAGGTTACCATAATCCGTCGCCATCCCACATGGCTCAGTGGCATAAGCTGCTGGCTAGTGGCACAAGCTGCTAGTGACCATGAGTTTGGTTCCTGACAAAGCTGGAATCTACTCAACACTGAGGAGCCCTAAGAGAGTGAAACGGCAGGCTGGTGTTTTGCCGCATTGGCAGCCAGGTTATCGAACTTGCGAGCTGCCGGGGAGAACCGGTAAAGTCACCTTAGCTGTTTCTTTTTCATTTTCTTGTATGGAACTTTAGCATTTAGCCACCTGCTACACGTTTACCAAAAAGTTATGACTTTCTTTTTGAATTAGTGTATCGCTGTTATATTTTCGCTACTCATGAAGCAACATTGTATGATATTATTGTCCTGTCCAAAGGGGAAAGAGTCCAGAAGCATCTCGTCTCTGAGTCTCCGGAAAGCATGTTCAATACAGAATTAACACGAAGACCCCCGACAAATTTACCTGGCCGCATTCGTATGGCTTTCGGAAGGGCGGCACCCGGATACTACGCTGAGCGGTTTCCAAGTAAGAATCACGTAACTGAAAATACACTCTAGTACGCCACAATGCAGTTCAGTAATTCGAGGTCGAGTCATGTATGCAAATATCTAAGAAATTATATTTGGTTGGTCTTCACCGACTACGTCACATGAAAGAGGTAGGTCAAGTCCCATTCAGACGGTCTGGGGGGGGGGGGTAAACATGGCATCTGTTGATCAATACGGTCGATAATACACTATCCAGATTCAGTGCAGTATGGAGGACAAAGCTGTGTCCATTGTTCGTCTGAGCCTTCACCTTTGGTTTCATAACAAGAGTTAAGTAGAATGTAGTTGTTGTAATACGAAATCACTACTCATCCCCTAGTGGATGCTATCTCGCCTTCTAACGGAACCACATACTGCAAATTTCTTTGAAGTAGATTCATTCCAGGGCGTATCTATTGTACGGAAAGTTGCTAATACATATTTATTATGTATATACTGTTTCACTCAACCATAATGAGAGAATAAGTTTTCCGTGCTGTTTTATTAAAATGTGGCATCAAATTTGTAGAACAACGACGAGGCAGTTACAATATATCTCCAGCTTGTTAGACCGAATATAACCCACTGCGTGACGCGGTAAGCTTGGTGTATATTCATCATCAACATCATCATCATCACCATCCTCCTCCTCCTCATCATCATCATTTTCACCGTCCTCAAATTGCTCATCACCAATACACGTTACTCGAGGATGAGAACCACACCTCGGCTAATTTGTCAGAATACAAAAAATGGATTAAACATTTCAGACTAGAAAAGCTACCATAATAAGGTAACCCTAAATATCTTATTATGCACTGGTTATGAGATCACTGTTTGAGGGGAAGCTAAGCGGGAGAGGAGGGACAAAGAGACTCACACTACAAGTGCCATTGGGGGCCGCTCTTCGCCATCTCAGCTAGTGTATCCAACCAAACGTGCTCACCTTCCTTCGGACCCCAGCCCGGCTATCGGGAGACACCAACCGACGCCAACTTCGAGGGATTTCATTCCCCTTGGCCAAGTCATCACTTGACCTCTCCTCCTGTGTTTCCATCCACACCCCGGGCGCACAAACAACGTACGATGAGAGATTCGATGTGCTGGCATGTGCAACACGTAGCTCAGCCATCAGAGCCTAGTGCGTGCGGTAACGATGCTGAGCGGTTCACTCGCACTTCCTGCACCATATATGCGACGCCGAACGCGCTCATTGCTCACGCGGTGTTCCCACAAGACATGAGCTAAGCTGCGAAGGCAGCGATGATCGAATATGACGAGCCTCTTCATGTCTGTCGACCTGATGGACCAGGTTTCACAGCCATATAGGAGAGTTGAACGGACGGCTGCGTTGTAAACTCTGCCCTTCAGGGTGAGAGTAATGTCGCGTCTGCGCCACAGGTAGCGGAGATTGGCAAAAGCACCTCGAGCTTTTGCTATACGGTTCGTAACCTCATCTTCAATCCCACGGGTGCTAATAGAGCTGCCCAGGTGTTTGAATTCCTGAACGACTTCTAGCAGATCACCACCAAGCGTTAGCGCAGGGTTGGGTCCCTGCCAATCTTGGAGAAGTACTTTGCATTTTGTTGAAGCAAAGCATAGCCCAAAACGATTGACAGCCAGTGCTAATCGGTCCAGTGCTATTTGGCATGTTCGGTGTCCTTGGTGTCCTTCAGTCTATGCAGAATGACAAAGCTCAGTATCTTAGAAGCAATTGAGATCACTGGTCCCTCTTTGACTGCCTCATTCCGAAGTGGAGCCTCCCTTGTAAATTGGGACTATAACGGAGTGTCTCCAGTCTGTTGGTACGACCTCCTCCCACAGATTCACTAGCAAGTTCTGCAACTCGTCTAAAAGAACAGGTCCCCCGAATTCGAAGAGGGCTGAGGGAAGTTCATTTGGTCTTTCTACCTTATCCAATTTCAGCCGTCTGCTTGCACGTCCGACTTCTGCGCGTGAAGGGGGATTCAAGTAAACGACCCAGGAAATAGGGCGATCAGTGGCCGATGGAGAAGCTGGCAACTCTGACTGATTAAACTGCTTCTCAACATGTTCGGCCCGACGCTCCAGGCGCTTTTACAAGCAGTGGATCGGTTATCCACTCTTGCTGCGCACCGTTTCGTTAACGTTCGGACATCTGCTGCCCGTTTCCCGTATCAGACGGAATAACTTCCGATGGTTACCAAGGGCAGCGACTTTCTCCAGCTTCGAGGTGTAATGAGACCACCAACTCAGCGGTCTGCCTTCAGGCTGACACGCAGATTCACCGAGAATTTTGCGAGTCTCATTGTATTCTCTTCTAGACGGAACACGTCGGTGTGCATTCGGAAGACTGCACAGAGCACCAATGTCCAGGTAAGCAATTTGATTTGCCACGTGAAGACATTCCCGCTGCTATTAACGTCTGGCGCATATGCGACCAGTAGTCTTTAACTGCGTACAGTAAGCGCCTACTCAGCTCCGATGCCAGTGTAGTTTGATACGAATGCAGAGCATCTGGCTTCACCAGTTGACAAGTATCTATGCGCTCACAGTGCCTTCGCCGACTTCCACCGAAACGAATCGTAGATAGGTGCAAACAAGTGAATGATCAGTGTCCACACTCGTGCTAAAAATCGAGCGACAGTTTTGCACGCAGCCTGTCGAGCGGTAACTATTCGCGATGTGATTGAGTTGCTTCCATGGCTGGTCCGAGGCTGGTGGGCGTCATGTCACTCTTCTGCGGATGGTATGTTGGTAGTGCTCGCAAAAATGAGACCAGCATCTTCACGCAGGTGTAGCAACCGCTCCCCGTTATCATTACGGGAGCCTACACCTCGTTGGCCGCCCAGATGAAGGTCATTAGTGGACAGTTTTCTAACCTGGACGATGAAATCAGCAGCAAGCACCACAGCATCCGTAATTCTTCTGTGTAACGAAGGAGAGCATTCAATTGGTGACGTAAGTCATTTTTCACCCAGCCAGCGCTACAATTTGTGAGGCTGAAATGACAAACAAGCATTGTTTGTCCCCGCGCGACTTCGATGCTTTGAACGAGCCAACCAATCTGACAGCGCACATCCGGCTGTTCATTGGGATCCAATCGATCAGGGTTGCTTCAGCCCGGGGGCTCGGAACAATGCCGATATCGGCTTGACTGGCACTTGAAGCTGCGTCATCTCCGGACAAGCGCATGTCGAAAATATAGCCAGCGTGGCACCTTGAGAATCACACGGTAATCAAGGAACTCGAAATCAATCGAATATCTTAGGACACTTTTTCAATCAATATTTATTTCAAACAAGCAACAATATTTAATCAACGTAACATCCAATGTTATCGACGACGTACTGCCAACGCTCAGGCACGTTGTCGATGCCTCTCTCATAGAACGAGCTGGGCTGGTTGTCAAAGTATTGGGCAAGGTATGGTTCGAGATGGTTGCGGTCTGTGATCGCTAGTCCTTGATGTGATTTTGCAGCGAGCAGAAATGGTAGTAACCAGTAGCAGCAAGGTCCGGGCTATAAGCTGCATGCATAAGAGTCTCGATACAGAGCTGTCGAATTTTAAAACACGTCCTCTTTGCCACATGAGGACGTACGTTGTCATGCAGGTGTATGATTCAGGTCGCTTTTGGACGCTTTTTTCGGTGTTCGTCGACCATCTTTTGCATTTGTTGACAGTAGACATTGGCAGTAACAGTAGAGTTGTCAGGTAGCAATTCCCAATAGATGACGCCGCGGCGATCCCACCAGACCGACAGCAGCACTATTTTGCTGTGTAGTTCGCCTTTCGGTACTGATACTGGCGTTTCATCTGCTGCGATCCACTGACGCTTCCTGGTATGGTTGACATAGAGCACCCACTTCTCGTCTTCAGTAACGATATCGTTCAGCCATCGATGATTGCGTCCTCGGGTGAGCAATGAAAGTGCGATGGCACAACGGTTCAAAAGCTGCTCATCAGTCAACTCGTGTGGTACAAGTCGTCCGAGCTTTGGATGCATTCCGGTTTGACGCAGATGGCGCTGAACGGGGGTTTTCAGAAGGCCAGATGCGACGAGACTTCAATCACCTTTTTACACGGATCTACCCTTGGAGCGTCCTGGATGCTGCTGTCAATGTCCACCGGCTTACTTCCTTGACCTCCGATGTTAGACAAATCGTAGTTGCCTAGTTTGAATCGGCGGAACCAAAATGTCACTATACCGTAACTCGGAGCATCCGTGTCTAGTAGGTCACGCATGTTTCGACAGACCTCGATTAGCTTTGTGCCCTTGTAGGTACTCGTACAATAAGCACCCGCGAACAGCATATTGATAATTAACCAATACCGCAGCTATTGCTAAACTGCAGAACAAATGGACAACGTTAGATTATTGCTCCAGTGTGCCCCTGCGTATACCCATATAAAAGAATCTTCCAGAAGCTTCTAGAAAAATCCGGAATGGAATGCAAAAAAATTCGATTGATTTCGAGACAACTTAATAGCAGGCGTTTCCGATAGGCTGCAGATATCGATTGATAGAGTTTCCAATGTTCAGGCCAGTGCCGCCTGTTGGCCAATCTGAAACAAAGTGTGCACTTTGAGGCATGCCAGTCGTAGAGGGGATATGTGCTTTAAATAGAAACAAATGAACTGATGTTGTGCATTTGGCTGGACATGGCGTTGTCAACTGGACTGGAGCGACGCTCTACGCTTGCATGTGAGTTGGAACTAGACGACAAGCGACTACTGAAGCAATGGAGGGAAGGTCAAGTATTGGGAGTTGAAAACCGGGGATACGAGAGAAATTGAAACGGGACGATAAGGGTAAAAAACACAAGGAAGAAGAAGAAAACGGGAAGGCATGAGTAGTAGCACCCTCACCTATCTCCACCCTGCTCAAAGCAGCAGATAGAGTGCCGTTGGTTGTCCTCTGCGACTGCCATAGCACCAACATATTGTTTGAAGGGGGAGTCATTATATTGCATTACTTGGGCAAAATGCTGTCAGGTTGCCAGACCTAGACAAGAGAATGATTATGGTTCTCAACCAAAGTCTTTGGTTCA